TCGATCTCCTGACCTCGTGATCCACCCGCCTCGGCCTCCCAAAGTGCTGGGATTACAGGCTTGAGCCACCGCGCCCAGCCGGTGGTGCATGCTTGTAATCCCATCTACTTAGGAGGCTGAGGCAGGAGAATTGCTTGAACCTGGGAGGTGGAGGTTGCAGTGAGCCGAGACTGCACCATTGCACTCCAGCCTGGGCAACAAGAGTAAAACTCCATCTCGAAAACAAAAACAAAAACAAAAACAAAATTAGCCGGGTGATAGTGGCATGCTCCTGTGATCCCAGCTACTCGGGAGGCTGAGGCAGAAGAACAGCTTGAACCTGGGAAGCGGAGGTTGCAGTGAGCCAAGATCACGCCACTGCACTCCAGCCTGGGCAACAGTGCGAGAATAAATCTCGGGGGAAAAAAAAAAAATCACTCAGACTCAAGTAAAATTGCATACTAATTAGGCACTTTGAAATACTTGCTGAATACATTTTAAGTAACGATTTTAATTACTTATTAAAAATATTTTTTTGTGTGTAGACACAGTGTCTTGGCTTTGTTGCCCAGGCTGGTCTCAAACTCCTGGCCTCAAGCACTCCTCCCACCTTAGCCTCCTAAAGTGTTGGGATTACAGGTCTGAGCTACTGCACTCTGCCTATTTTATTTCTACTTAAATAAATAACTTCTTTATGCCCACTGATGTTCTGGACACTGTTAAACACTTTACAGATATTACTTTATTTATTCCTGATGACAAACCTGTAAGTATGGTATAACAATTTCAATGATGAAGAAAATAAGAGCTGAAGAGATGAAATGACCCAATAATACAGGCTGGAAGAGGGATTCAAACCCAAGTAAGTGCAGCTGAAAGCCTCTCCTATTATCCATACTTTGTTCAATACCCAACTCTTTCAGGCAGGAAGTGAGCTCTTAATATACTACCATTCAGGACACCAGTGGATCACTACAGACAAGAGAGTGAAATCTGTCCATTATAATGCAGCTCATTGTTACACATCTGGCTACAAAAGTGGACTAATTCATGTTCTTCCAGTATGTCTACAATGCTGATGGGCTGCAATGCAGAACAGCAGTTAAGAGTATGGGTGGGTGAGCCTTAGTTTTGCCAATTACAACCTGTATGTGCTAGGCAAGTTACTCGACCTCTCTGAGCCTTATTGTACAACTTAATCTGTACAATAATGGTACTTACAGTTTATGGTAAGAGTTAGATAAGATACTTTACATTACAAAATTATCACATGCACACACAAACTTAACAGAGTTTAGAACATAGTAAGCACTCAGTTCGTGTTAATTATGATTATGTGAAACTGATCTTATAAACAAGTTATCAATAAATCTTTATTAGGCATCAACTACATTCAAAACATTGTTTCAAGGTGAGAATGGGGCATGGTGGCTCATGCCTATAATCCCAGCACTTAGGGAGGCTGAGGTGGGCAGATCACTTGAGCCCATGAATTCAAGACCAGCCTGGGAAACATGATAAAACCTCGCCTCTACAAAAAAATGAAAAAAAAAAAAATTAGCTGGGCATAGTGGTGCATGCCTGTAGTCCCAGCTGCTCGGGGGGCTGAGGTGGAAGGACTGCTTGAGCCTAGGAGGTGGAAGTTACAGTAAACTGATATTGTGCCACTGCACTCCAACCTGGGTGACAGAGTAAGACCCTATCTCGAAAAATAAATAAATAAATAAAAATAAAACCAAACACAAACCATTGTTTTAAGGTGGGGTTTTATGCTGTTTTCCAGCACCATAAAACTGATGAGGTAAAATGATGGTTGATACTCTGTAGGGCAGTTGAGCAGACTCACCTTAAGATACTCCGTTGCCTAAACTCCAGAGCCGTAGTCTGCATCTGAAGTTTGGTCCTACGAACAACCACGTAGATCAACCAGGACTTCCAGGCCTGTCGCATCTTTTGCTTTGCATCTAGATTCACCAAAGAGATTTTTCAAAAAGCATGGGAAGAGATGGATTACTCTGAGTTATGATAAAAGCTCAAGGGCTCTCCTTTGAATACCTAAATCCCTCCAGCTTCCAAGTGCCCCCTGCTGGAAAAGTTGTGAATCACTACAAAATTAATTAAGAGTGCAAGAACACACGAAGGCTTTGTGCAACTAACGACATTTACAAAGCATTTAAAGGAAAATCCATGTACTGAACTGCTCAAAAACTCTCTGTTTTGTTTTTTGTTTTTTTTTTTTTGAGACGGAGTCTCGCTTTGTCGCCCAGGCTGGAGTGCAGTGGCCGGATCTCAGCTCACTGCAAGCCCCGCCTCCCAGGTTCACGCCATTCTCCTGCCTCAGCCTCCCGAGTAGCTGGGACTACAGGCGCCCGCCACCTCACCCGGTTAGTTTTTTTGTATTTTTTTTTTTAGTAGAGACGGGGTTTCACCGTGTTAGCCAGGATGGTCTCGATCTCCTGACCTCGTGATCCGCCCGTCTCGGCCTCCCAAAGTGCTGGGATTACAGGCTTGAGCCACCGCGCCCGGCCAACTCTCTGCTTTAAAAGCGTTTATTTTTATAGATATGCTCTGCAATTTTTAGATGAAATGATGTGAATAAACAGGCAGCAAAGAAGTGGAGAGATGGATCTTAACAATAATGGCATGAGTGGATAATCAAAGCTGGGTAATGGATACATGGAGGTTCATTACTCTATTAAATATCTTTCAGGCGGGCGTGGTGGCTTACGCCTGTAATCCCAACACTTTGGAAGGCCAAAACAGGCGGATCACCTGAGGTCAGGAGTTCCAGACCAGCCTGACCAACCTAGTGAAACACCATCTCTACTAGAAGTACAAAAATTAGCCGCGTGTGGTGGCGTGCGCCTGTAGTCCCAGCTACTAGGGAGGGTGAGGCAGAAGAACTGCTCAAACCCGGGAGGGAGAGGTTGCAGTGAGCCAAGATCACACCACTGCACTCCAGCCTGGGCGACAGAGTGAGACCCCATTTCAAAAAAACAAAAATTTTTCAATTGTGTAGATATTTAAAGTTTTCCATAATATAAAGTTAAAGAAGAAGAAATCATGATATAAAACTTGCTGTTTGACTCCAAGCTCACTCTTTTCAGTAAAGAAAAGATAATTTACTAGATATGGAAGACGCAATGGCCCACAGGTCTCCCTTTGTAGTAAACTGTATTTTCATTATGAAAGTCACCACTAATGAAGTAAATTTCTCTTCTTTTTAGAAGACAAAGGAGAAAATAAAATTATATAAATCATTTTTAGGACAGCCTCCAAGATGTAGTCAATAGGACTGTAGCTATATATTTCACAGTTGTTGACAAGACAAATCAAAATACAAAGGATAATTTAACATGCATCTTCCTTGGTTTCACCATGGACCTCAGGAATCAGCACATTTCAGGTAATGAGGACTCGTGTAGTGCTGTGGTTTAGAGTCTGGGATCCTGAGTAAGACAAGCCAGGCTTACTGGCCTTTCATTTATTAAAGACGTAATCTCATACAAGTTCCTCATCTGTAAAATGGTGCCTCTCTCAGAGGTATGCTTGGAAAGTGTAAATGAGATCATTTATCTATGAAGAGTATCTAAAATAAACACTAACTGCTCTTTCCAGAGTATGGAATGCAGGAATCTCATTAACTGTCTCTGCCATGATTCTGATGCACGCGACAATTTGAGAACCATGCTTCCTTAAGGCCTAAAAGTACTTGCAAACTTTTTATTTAACAGTGCAAGAGTGAATGGACACTCCCTTAGGTCTACGGGAATGGCCTGAAATAACTTGTCAAATGTTAGAAATAATTATTGCCTCTTGAGTAGCTGGGACTACAGGCATGCACCACCACACCTGGCTAATTTTTGTATTTTTTTGTAGAGATGAGGTTTTGCCATGTTGCCTGGGCTGGTCTCGAACTCCTGCACTCAAGCAATCCGCCCACCTCGGCCTCCCAAAGTGCTGGGATTATAGGCGTGAGCCACAGCACCTGGACAACTCTTTTTATCTTAAACATACAAGTGACTTTTTCCT